CCCTCGAGTCTAGTCTGGAAATGTTCGGATATTTTAAAAGATATTGATAATAATCTTAAAATAGCTATAGAAAAAATTCTGAATTTAACTTTAAATACAACAGCCTGGACTCAAGCTACTTTACCTATAAAATTTGGTGGCATTGGTGTAAGAAATCTTTCTAGCGTTGAATTGCCTGCTTTCCTTGCTTCCGTGCATAGTGTCAGTGACTTATGTACCATAATTTTAAATAATAAAGTAGACCTATGCTTTGCTACGGAGGCAGGGCAGACATGGCAATCGCTCTGTCCTGGTGAAAATATTCCACTGGAAGTTAACCAACAAAAACAGTGGGATATTCCGTTGGTACAGGGCGTGCAGAAGGATTTGTTTAGTATAGTGACCAAGATAAGGCACGCCTTCTAGCTGTTTCGACTAAGGAATCTAGTCACTGGTTACACGCTTTACCATCAAGTAATCTCGGCACATTACTTGATAGCGAAAGCTTGCGCATTGCCGTAGGAATCCGACTAGGGATGTCATCCGAAGGGCTCTTGCCTCTATAAACGTTCCCTCGGTTTTAGAGCCTTGTGGAATATTTAGAGACGATGGCAAGAGACCCGACGGTATGACATTGATCCCTTGGGAGAGAGGTAAAGCCCTAGTGTGGGATGCTTAGACACTCTGGCGGCCTCTCATCTCAGGGGTACCTCGTTTAAAGCCGGGGCGGCATCAGAGGCAGCTGAACTGAGTAAGTGGCGCAAATATGAGTCTCTGAGAGATGACTACATATTTGTGCCATTTGCTGTAGAGACTATCGGTCTGTGGAGTCCACGTGCGGTGAAGTTCCTAAAGGAACTCCATCCGCGGCTGGTCGTTGCTGCTGGTGATAAGAGGGCTGGTTCTTTCCTCGCTCAAAGGCTAAGTATAGCCATTCAGCGGGGAAACGCAGTCAGCGTTCTTGGCACGATACCGCGGGGAGTAGGACTATATGATAATTAAGTTTCTAGTTTTAGTTTTTTTTTATTATCATAGATTTTAATATTGTAGATAAAATTAAGTATTATGTAGAATTTTATCCTATCTTAATAAAAAAAGTTGATATCAATTAAACTGTTGCTTGGCATTTAAAACTCTGATTTACCACTTGCTCGGCGGTGAAGACAAACATGTCCCACACGAAGGCATTTATCTCCTTTACCTTCATGCAGATGGTCTACAAATACACAAAAGCATGCCCTAACGCTTTATCCAATGCTATTAATGTCATCAATGCAGATCTTGTACGAATATTTGAGCGGAGTAAAGCATACAGGCGAACATAAAGTTTAAGCCTCTGCAACCGTTTTGCGTAGATTACGTAACTTTCTTTGACTATGCAAAAGTCAGCTATCTAGATCACACCGAAGCTCCTCTTAATATACTTGAGCGAATTCAGATTTTCTTGTATAATGTCTTCTTAGCTCAAAAATAGCTTTGATTATCTCCTAGATTCCTATTCGCGTCACCTGAGATCAGCAGAGAACTTGAAGTTGAATATGCAACTACACTCTAGTAAATGTTGTTTATGAACGCGTCTTTTACCGTACAGGCCGTTCGTTTATGGAATGAACTCCCACTGCCGGTAAGGTGCGCATCATCCGTTCAAGTATTTAAAAAACTTGTCATTACCTCACTCTTTAAATTTCGTTTATCCTCGTCTCCACACTAGCCATTAAATATAATGTAATGTGTGGTATATTGAATGCATTTAATTATATAATTCAATATATATGTACTTTATTTTCCGCCGTACCTCAGAAGAACTTTGGGCGAAAATTACAACTCGATAGACTTCGATAAATGGCAGATGACCCCAAGGCAGACCCAGAAAACAATGGCAGGATGAACTGGACTCCTTCGTGGAAGACTGATCCTCCAAAGCACAGAACCGTGAAAGGTGGAAAGAGGTTGGGGAGGCTTTTGCCCAGCAGTGGGAACGTTATGTGCTGATAAGATAAGATAAGATAGATAAGATATATGTTTACAGTATATGTATATTATATATGTAATGTGTACGCACATTCTTTTTTATCACTTCGACTTGCCCTACCTCTGGCATTCTTTCTGCAATCCTGTCCATTCATTGGTTGTCTGAAAGAAATTGCTGTCAGCCATAAGGCCGACCATTGCCTAATTTTTTTGTATAAATTATTTGTGTATTTTTAATGGTGTGCAATAAAGTATTCTGTCAGGGTGTATTCTTTACAAGGTCATATTGTTCGTTTTGTGTAGCAGTCATAAAAACGGGCAAAGGCCGAATTTCTCGGATAATGTGAAATTTACAGCGATTTAAACTTAGGCCCTGAGCTACCATTTGAAATACAGCAGCATTTTTCATTTACAATTACAGCAGAATTGCATGTTTTTAAAATAAAATTAATTTGAAATTAGAATTCTTAGGAAACAAAAATTATTTTGATTTAAAATGCCAGTACTGCAGAACGGCAATTTCATAGGTTATGATCATTACAGCCCTTCACAAGTCCACTGCTGAACATAGGCCTCCCCCAAGGAATGCCACAAAGCACGGTTCTGAGCCACCTGCATTCATCGACTTCCTGCATGTCTTACCAGGACGTCACTCCATCTAGTGGGCGGACACTCTAATCTTCGTCCAGGCCGCTACTCGAGAACCTTTTTTTCCTATCGGTTGTCGGTTCTTTGAGCTGTATAGCTGGCCTATTGCACCTTCATATTACTAATCCGTAGGGCTATGTCGGTTACTTTGGTTCTACGGCGGATATCCTCATTTCTAAGTTTGTCATGCAGAGAAACCTAGAGTATAGCCCTCTTCACAGCTCGCTGAGTGACCTTGAGCATCCTCTTAACTTGTCGGAGTATTTGTCCCAAGTAAACATACTCGTCAACAACTTCGAGATTAGTGTTCCCAAAAACTACCGGCATAGGTGTGATATGGACGTTATACATAATCTTTTTACTGTCCATGTTCATCTTAAGACCTATCTGTTGGGAAACACTAGTGAGGTCATTGAGCATAGTGCTTAGGTCCACCGGCGGTTCTGCCATAAGGACTATATCGTCGGCAAATCGAAGGTGAGTGATGTACTCGCCGTTGAAGTTAAAGCCGTAGCCTTTCCAGTCCAGAAGCTTGAAAACGTCTTCCAATGCAGCGTTGAATATGTAGTTTCGGCGATATAATGTCACCCTGTCTTACACCTCTCTGCAGTTGGATAAGTTTCGTACTCTGGTTCTGTACTCGGATAGCTATCGTAAGCCTACTGTACAAAAACTTCAACACTTCGATATACCGACAGTCAATTTGGCACCGCTGAAAGGCATGCAGCACCGCCCAAATTTTTAAGGAATCAAAGGATTTCTCATAGTCCACATACGCCAGACATAGTGGCAAATTGTACTTCTCGGACTTCTGTACAATTTACCGAAGGGTATGTATGTGATTTATAAATTAATCAAAATAGGTAAATCAAATTTAGGTAAAAACCTATTATGATTTATGAAAGTAAAAACTCATTTATGCAGCAATAATATTCAGAATCACAAATTTTTTTAAAATATAAAAAGATAACTATTTTCACAGATATTTCTTGTAATTATTGACGTATGTCAGTCATTGTCGTTTTGCATCGTGAATTGTGCATGACCTTGGCGGGACGTACAGCAAGATGGGCCGTTAAGAAGGCGCTTAAGTCGTTACAGAATGTCACTTGTTGAAAGATAACTTCAATAACTTTAATAAACTGAAGTGATGTTTACTTTGATTTATATTACGAAAACTATTACTCGACCTTTTCATTTATAGTAGTTATTGATTTTTGTGTAATTAAAGTTATTTTTGTAACTCCATAGCTTTTACTTGCGACTCGGTTCGCGTGAGCTAAAATGAACTTTTAGGATGCTTAAGTAGAACAATAAAACTATAACCCTAACAGTCAAATTTAGTACATCTTTTCCAAATTGCAACTCTCTAGGCAACAATTTAAAAGAAGTGATTTTTTTCTCCTTCTTACATTTAACCGACTTCAAAAATGGAGGAGGTGCTCAATTCGGCTTTATGTTTTTTTATGTGTAACTCACATAAAAATATATTTTTTTAGGTTAACCGATTTTGAAGATATTTTTTTATTTGAAAGCTGGTGCTTTTCATATGGTCTCATATAAATTTGGTCAAGACCTTACCAGTAGTTTTGAGTTATCTGGTGTTGCAGTTGTTCATGAGCGGCGGTAATCACTTACCATCAAATGAGACGTATGCTCGTTTGCCCCCTCTCCTATAAAAAAATGCGTATTTAATTGACTACGACGACATTTAAAATCTTTTCATTTTATTTATATTAAAGTTGGTTGTACAAAATTTTGATTTTACCATTTGTTAATGGAACATTTTTTTAATGGAATACTAAAGAAGCATAAAAAATAAGCCAATAAATTGCACTTTAGTTACAAGTAGATACTTCAGATTGTTGATTATTGACAACCCTACTCCAATATCGTCCCACTATCACTTTACGACGATTTTCGAGTAACCATTTTTGGTGCACGTCTTCGTAACATACGAGCCGTCTTTTATACTTATTATTTCAATGCAAGTTTGTGTAACATAGAAACTATCTTTTTATAGTCTTTTAGATAATCTTACGATTTCTAATCTATAGGGTTATACTCGTAATTAAGAAACGGGATTATATTGGTATTTGACGCCACCGCAACCTTTACTTTGCAGAAATATATAAAATTAATAAAACACTCTCGATTGTTCCACGTCTATTCACCAGCCTTGTCTAACCATCTACACACCTTTGACATATATTTCTAATAAGTAAATGCCACCTACCCTACAAACTATATAATATATTACACGTTCCCCCTTAGTTTAACAAAATAACAAGTTCTCTTATAATATAAAATTACAATATACATTAAGTAACAATGAAGTACAATGTATAACTTAACATAAAAACAATAATAACAGGGTACACTTAATAATAAACTAATGGTGATCAATCAAACTCTGGAAACCGTATTGGTGGTTTACTATTTCTTAGGGGATAGCGGCGAGTCCGTCCGGGCGTACAACTTTGTGGTTGTATTGTATTATTAATATCTGACGTTGTCGTACCCAGCTGGACTCCTGCACCCTCCTCCATCGAGCCTGTTGACTGCTCCGAGACACCGCCTGGTTTATCGTTCTGCCTGGACATTGCATCTAGAAATGGGTTAAATGAACTGTGCCTGCATTTCTCACTATGTATGGGCGTGTCATCAAAAGCAACATTAAATGCATGTCTTAATTGGTCTGCGTGTCTATGGTATACGATTCCGTTGATACCTAAAATTTCATAATCCGTATTACCAAACTTACAATGAATTATACCCTCTAACCATTTTCTTACCGCGCAATAGTTACGGTACAAAATTGTGTCCCCTTCCCTAAAATTCCGATTCAGACCGCTTGATGCTAACTGCTGACGTTTCTGTGAGGTGTGAACGCGATCTGCTCACTCGAGTTTTAAGCAGTCAAGTCGCATACGTAACGCGCGGCCTTGTAATAATTTTGCTGGACTCTCTCCCGTGGTACAGTGTTCAGTATTTCTATATACCAAAAGAAATCTTAGGAGCGCAACGTCCACGTCTAAGAACTGTGATATAGCCTTTTTAATTACGTTTTTGCAAGTTTTAACCGCATTTTCAGCTGCTCCGTTGGATGAAGGATGATACGGCACTAAATACGTGTATTCTATCCCCTTAGTCACTAAAAATTATTTCAATTCTGAACTCGTGAAGGGTGGACCGTTATCCGAAACTTATTGTTTTGGTAAACCAAACCGAGACCATAATTCTTTAATTAAATAAATTAATGCCCATCGCTGTAATCTACTAGCAGTAATTTTAGGAATACTATGACCCGGGTTGAAAATGCTTACCAAGGGCTTATGATCTGTTCGCAGTTCGCAAACTGGCGGCCATACAGATCGGTGATACTTTTTGATTGCGAATACAATTGCTAATGCCCCTTTTTCTATTTGACTATAGTTTACTTCGGCGGATGAGAGTGCTCGTGAAGCATACGCGACTGGGCGCTCACGCTCGCCCCGCCTCTGCGCCAGCACCGCGCCCACTCCGTGCGCACTGGCATCGCACGTTACTACGATTGGAACCTGCGGGTCGTAGTGATCTAACGTTACCCGTTACTCAACATGTTTTTTACATTTTGAAAAGCTTGCTTCTGATCTTTTCCCCAAAACCAATGGCTATATTTTTTAAAATAATGTATAACGGATTTAAATAAAAGCTCAAATTTATTCTACAATAAAAATTAACCATTCCTAAAAATGACCGTAATTCGCATACGTCAGTTGGTTCTCGCATATATAAAATTGGTTTTATCTTTTCTAAATCTACCTTTACACCATCTTTATTAACAATATAACCAAGATATTTTATCTCGTTCGCAAAAAACACACTTTTCTTTCCTAATCTTTAATACGTATTCGTTCTACCGTAATTACCGAATTAAAGACTGCCGTATTACGTACATCTTTAAGAAGGTTTATTTTTATTCTTTGAAAAATGCCAGGGCTTGAAGCCAATCCATAAACAAGACGATTATACATATAAAGACCCCTATGTGTATTTATTACCGTATATTTTTTTTTATTCATCTCACACTACTTAGTTATAGGCCTGAGATAAGTCTAACTTACTGAACCAAGTACAACCGCTAAGATTCGCTAATAAGTCTTCGTTCTTAAGAACCGGGAATTTATCTGCCAATAAGACACGATTCAATGTTACCTTGTAACCCGCACAAATGCGAAGCGATCCATCAGGTTTGTTAAGTAAGACCAGTGGAGAGGCCCAGTCGGAGGAGTCAACCGGCTCGATGACACCAGCCGGCAGCATGGCGTTCAGCTCGGCATCGACCCGCTCGTGCATTGCGTACGGCACAGGCCGCGCGCGGCAGAATACCGGCACGGTGCCTATCCAGTGTCAGTTGTTGCATGCCCGCCGGTAAATCGCCCAAGACCACCATCAAATAATTGTTTAAATCTGTCGAGTAACATATTCAAAGTTTTAAATTTATCAAAATATTATATTAATTATCCAACGAGTCGAGGATAAACTAGTAACGGCATAGGACAAGCGCACCGTTCAACGTCAGAGCCAAGACTGTCCTAACGGCGGCAGCTCCGTCCGTTTTATACGAGCTAAACGGGCGCCACCGCAGGTGCAATGGTGCAGGTGTGCGGAGCACGTGTTGTTTACAAGAATTCTGTCTAGCTACACCGACGCCGCCGCACGTGCAATGTTGCACGTGCCGTCACGGCCATACTGACATGCGTGCGTCCTCGCACGCGCTCCATCACAATTTTAGTTATCTGTAGACAGAAAAACATCGTTCGATTCTCCTAACAAAATAGCATCTGGTCCGGTCTATATTGACCCTTCAGACTCGGGTGACAGTCAGTTTTGTTCCGGCAGTAAGCCCTAGGAAACTTTAATCATCTTTATGTTAGATTGGAATGATTAGTCTGTAGGTTTTTCTATTTTCTTTTTTTTTTTCAAGTACTGTTTTCGCTAGTCCGGAATCACTATTCCCTATAGCTATATAACTGGACCGGCACAAAGCCCTGCAATGATAGTAAGAACTATTCTTTTTTCTTAATCTCTTTTTTTTTCAGTACTATTTATGCTAGTCCGGAATCACTATTCCCTGTAGCTATATCATTGGACCGGCAAACGCCCTGCAATGATAGTAAGAACCACATTTTATTTCTTACTCTCTTTTTTTTCAATTCAGTATAGAACAGTTATAGACCAACCATACCGCAAACATGTCCCCGTCACAATCATACAAAAGTGTATCGTGAGGGACGTAGTGACTCGATAACACCTAAGTATGTAAACCAACAGCAACACGACACATATCCCAGTGCAGCACAGACCAGCCTCCCTGCAACTTCATGTTCCTTTCCTGCACTAGAATAATTACTTCGCTAGAGTGTTGCAACGTCTCTAGTATTTTCTAGATGCACAGACACGGCTACCTCTGACTCTCGCACGTCCTCGTGCAGTTGACAGTGAACAGCATACGGTCTATCAGTTATCACCACCTGCTAACAAATATTAACTCTTGTTAAATATTACAACGGTCGACCATCCCAGACTTCATTTAAGTCTGGAACGCGCCGATATGGCTACCTCCAGGCAAACGCACTACCGCTTATCGTTCAGCTGCGTTGGTGCCACATTCGCGCCAGCAAGCCGTCGCGCCGTACTAACGTTAGCGAATCGTCGCACTGCTTTGCAAAATTAAAAGAAATCGAGATAAATGTATTGCGAACTATGGAATTCCGAGCTTCTACAATTCATCACATATTCTCTTAATAAACGGCAACTGTATGACATTTAAAAACATTGCAAAAAAAAAATGGAAACTATGTGTAGAGACAGATACCACAACATATTTCGAAGCGAAGGAGGCAACTGCGCAAAATCTACGAAAGCCGTCCATTTACAGCGCCAAAACACCATTTGTTCGGCGGCCGCTTGTATTGCCCTGCCGTAAGATCAGCCAATAAGTAACCGACTGTAGCGGTGTAGGCTCAATCTAACCAGCGCTCGGCCGTAACTGACCATGTTCGATTAGCCATCACAACGTCTTCCTCATTGATCGTTGTTGTAGAGACTTCTACGAATCCCTCGACATCAAACCCCAATCTTGTCAACGACACAATATTCGGAGCAAACTGCAATACTGATCAATACATTAGAACACAAAAATGTCACTTATTATTTTCAATTCATAGCGTGTTAAAGTTAATCCTTCATTGTAGTACAACCCTTAAACGTTTTGAACTTCAAAATATAGCAAATGATTATCATGTTTCGCGTGAACTATCAAATTACAACAAAACTTGAACAAGTTAATTAGAAAACCTCCAACATTTCTTTTGACATTTGTTAACATATTTAGGTACGTCAAGAAATAATGAAAATACTTGCGGGTACGTTTAATACAAACCAAACAAATAAAAAAAAAATTTGCTTAAATAATTTCACTTTATCTTTTCTCTACACTTTGATGATATGACAATATCATAAGTAGGACAGGAAATTTCATTACGGTATTTAACATAAAAACAGAATCATCAATGCAGAATGCATTATAGTCTTTCACAAATGTAATAATCTTCATACTATTCGAAGATTGTATGTGGGTAAAAATGGGGACTTTATCCCACTTCTGATGTAGGAAGTAAAGTGGGTATAGTACAAGGACTGATTTTGTAGTTAGGAATAATAATTAATTCGTTTACACGAATTAATTATCCAACGAGTCGAGGATAAACTAGTAACGGAATACGACAAGCGCACCGTTCCACGTCATAGCCAAGACTGTCCTAACGGCGGCAGCTCCGTCCGTTTTACACAAAATAAATGGGCGCCACCGCAGGTGCAATGGTGGAGGTTTGCGGAGCACGTGTTATTTACAAGAATTCTGTCTAGCTACACCGACGCCGCCGCACGTGCAATGGTGCACGTGCCGTCATATACAATCTATTCGGTTTTTGTGAAAATTTGGAATACGAGTATCTATTCCTAATTCTGCTAACCATTGTCTTCCTAGCAACATAGTTGTACTTCTTTCTATCACATACAAATCAAGTTTTTTACAGTTGCCGTTATATTGTACCTTAACTTCTATGAATCCTGCCGGCTGGACTTTACTGCCGTCATAAAACAAGAGTGTTAACTTACATGGTAATAATGTCAAATGCTTAAATTTTTCTTTATATAAATTATAACTAATACACGACAAAGCCGAGCCAATTTCGATTTCCATAATTAAAACTTGTAGATCAACAATAATAAGAAAGCTAACCGGTTTGTAGTCCCTCAAAGACATTTGGAACATAGGATGATCGATTTCTTCACCCTCAAGAGCTGCCGGGGAAGCCAGCTCGTCCTGCTCCATGTGCAAGGTTCGCACGCTGCGTTCTCACAGCGCCCCGCAATCCACCCGGACGGCAAGTTGCCCATTTGCACCACATTCACTTCACTGATATGACGGTTAACATCTATTGAGCCAACACTTTGCCGCTCCTGTTTTAGTGAATCTGCTTCATATCCTACCTCGCTGATACCGCATGCGCCCGTGCCGTATACCGCCGATGAGTCATGCTGCGCCGTTTCCATTGTTGTAGGCAATTTCACGGCGCATGCACAACTCAAACAGTCTTCAGCAAATAATCTTTGACGCATTGAATCACTGCGCAGACCACATACAAATTGATCCCTCATATTTTCATCCAGACAGTTTTTGAAGTCACGTGATTTTGCCAACCGTTTAAGTTCCGTTACAAATTGTGATACGGTTTCATTTTACTTCTGCCTACATTGACGAAATTTGTACTGTTCGACTAACACCGATGGCTTAGGCTGCATATAATCACGAATTATTCTTACTACATCTTCATATTTCATATCAGCGGGCTTATTCAGGCTGCACAAGTTAGTCATTAGTTCATATCCATTATCGTCAATAATAGATGCTATTAAAAACATAACTTGTAAAAAAAAACAAGTCTCGCAACTCAGTTCTTCTACCGTAAAACGTTGCGAGATCCATGTAATACCAAGTAGGTTAATTAATTCCTTCCCCACTTAAGGGTCCTTCTGTCTCAAGTTACTACGTAATTAATCAACCTACCAATATCTTATAGTGACTATATCAATATTAAAAATCTTTTATGTTTTAAATAAATAGATTGATTCAGCGGCATTCCAAACCGCCTTCAAAGAGTGTATTGATTCTCGCCCCCATAGTTTTTTAGTAAAAGGATCAATGAACTACCTATGAGATGGCAAAAGTGCATAGATAACAACGGTGCAAAAAACTGAGTTTATATTCCTCCCGTACAAAACGCCAATTTCATATGTAAGGACCTAATAATACTAAATTAATTATATTACTAAATTAGTTGAATCTTAAAAATGTCCTTTAAATAATTACGACTTTTAATTATTTAAAGGACTAGATATATATATAAAAATCAATTGTTTTCCGTTAGTCTCGCTAAAACGCAAAACTCGCTCCACCGATTCTAATGAATGATTTTGTGTGTGTTTGATGGGTTTCTGGATGGTTTAGATTCACAATTAGACCCGATTGGTGGAGCTGTTGTTGAAAATAAGAAATCACCCGTGCGAAGTCGGGACGGATCGAGACTGTTTATATATAATATAAAAATGAATCGCTGAATGTTTTGCTAAACGCATATCTCGACAGCAGCTGAAACAATTTCGCTAATTTTTTTATAATTTTCCTTGAAGTACGAAGATGGTTGATACGAGACGGAGAGAAAATTTTAAAAATTGCCTAAAATGTCTAAAAACAACACTTCTATATTCCCATACAAAAGATTCGTAATAATACTTAAAAGTAAATTTGAACTTTAATACCATACCATAAAGTTTAAGTGTTGCCGGGAAGGCAAAACAATTGAGTGATGTTAGTATCGTATAAATATTAATGTCAATATTTGTAAATATTTATACACACTGGCAGATAGCTGATGTTTTTTTTATTCTATTATAATTTAAGGGACATTTACCGCTTAGGGTATGTCAGTCCCATCATACCCTAATATACATGACTTACTCATATAACACTACTTAATAACTACATGGGCCATGGATTCGAACAGAACTTTCGCATCGTCGCCATTTGGTTGGGATAGAATATTATGGAATGTGCCTACGTCAGTTCTGTTCAAATTCAAGACCCTTATGAAATTACTTCTAATAGACTCAAATCGAACACATTCCATCAATATATGGTATAGGTCTTCTATAACTCCACAGTCTTCACAATTGGGCGAAGTTGTTTTTCTCATTAGAAATACAAATTTCTTACATGGAACGTGTCCAGA